CCCCAAAACCCCAAAACCCCAAAACCCCATATCATATACATAATAATTTTGAATGTAATATAGAATTTAATTATCATCAATACTTAAAGCATATATTTATAACGAGTAGCATAGCAAAAAATGATTCCTCAATCCTCAATCGCCTTTTTAAGACTTTGGATTCTTGCCTTCATCATATTAAGTTTGCTAAACTAGTAGCTATCATTTCTATCACTGTTTGCTTCACTTTTTTAATCTGACCTAGCATTGAGTCTTAAGTCTGGTATCAGACTTCCAAAATTTTAAATAGAAGTTTAATGAGAGAAAACATTAGGAGGGTGATTTTAGTAGCTGCCCCCAATCTAAAAATGATCGAAGCCTAGGTTATTGTTAGACCCTGTGTCCTCTTGTTTATCAGACCTCTGACTGTACCTTGGATTTTAAGATTAGATATCTTTGAGAATCTTAAAAGGCTTGACATCTGACTATCTTGGCTGATAATTGTACTGATCATACTTGAGCTTATTCCTCTATCTTATTATTTTCATTTGCAGCAAATACTCATTCTCGATCTTGTATTAGAATGTTTCGGTCTTATCTTCAACAATCTTAAGCTCTTCGTCTATCTAATTTAAGTAGTTTTGGTATATAAACATCCTATTGGTAATCTTTCTGTTTCTCTTAACCTAGGTTGAAAGAATATTCATGAGCTGTCTATATTTCTCAAGACCTTTAATTCCAGATTAATAAGTATCCTTAACTGGTAATGGTAATTTTGCCTCAGACAAAGTATCTTTGAAATTTTTCAAATGAGTCTCTATCAGGTTTTTAGTCTCTTAAAAGACTCTTAAGTGATATTTGATTGAATTCCTAATGTTTAAAATACGATTTTCATGTGTTGTGTTAGGTAGTGTCATTTATCTATAGACGTCATCACTACTTGATTAGTCATGATTGTTACTTGAAACTCTTTTGGTATCATTTCTATCATTGCTTGGTGGTGGATAACTGCTTTCATTTATCTTCGAAACACTTAGTCTATATTTTTATCTCTCACTTGCCAAGGGGTATGTAGATAAACTATTATCAAATTGAAACGTAGGTGATGTGAGATCCTGTTCAAAAGTATCTCTTCTACGATTCTTGATTATAGCATTTTCCATTTGATCTTCAGAGTCACTGCTATATACATGCTGCTTGACCACTATTTACTCTTATCTGTACTATTTAGCTATAGATTTCTGCAATATTTCATAGACTTCCTTTGTAGTTGCATTTGAATCAATTATAATAGGCTCAACTGCCTCTGCAATAACTTTAACATCCATCTTAATTTCAGTTGTCTTCCTACTCTTTAGCTTAGTACCTTAATTTCTATTCATTCTTGCCTCATAAATAGCCTCTGCTTATGAGATTTACTGAAAGTATCTCATGATTATATCCTTGACAGAGTCTTGATTTTTAATCATAGTCTGAATAGAATCCTGATTATTTCTAACTTTTTCTCTCTCCCAAGCTAGATTTCTGACTTCTTCAGCTATCTCAGGATATTGCTTCATCATGATTTCAACAATCTTTCTTTCAAATTTAAACACATAAACCTCAGTCTCTGCAATATAGGAGTCTTTACGATCTCTCTTGAATATCATGTCTGATTCCCCAAATAGAGAGCCTGTTGGGAGGATTCTACCATTACTAGCATTTAAGACCGAGCCACTCATTATAAGGCAAACTTCATTAGGTCTTGAACCTTGTTCAAGTATAATTGATCCTCTATCAAATCTCATTGGCTTTAGTTTGTCTAAATACTATTCATAAAATGTGTTTTTTCTTCCCTAAAGAAACTTTATCACATTGATGGCATCCTTATATAAAAATATTGCGAGTTGTGTTTTAAGATTTGTTGGTAATATTCTAAGTAAGTATGACATTTCTAAGTTATTAGAAAGATCCAAATTGGACTCATGCTCTTTATAGAAGAATCTAATCTTGTTTAGAACTTTCTCACTAACACCATATTTTCTCTCCATTTAGTCTAGCACCTTATTTCTGTCATCCTTCTCTTTATTGTCCCTTTAGAGTTCACTAAACTGATTAGATAAATCTGACAATATGTAAGAAAAGTAAGATACTCCAAAAACTATAATTAGATTTGACAGCATAATCTCATATTTATTTTTAGCTTGAATATCTCCATAACCCACAGTAGCGCAAGTAACAATAGCATAATACATTGCAGTAAGATATATGAAAAAATTTCCTTCATCTTGAATCTTGATGCTTGTTATCCAATTAATATTTGAATTCAAATCAAAAGATGCAGAAGTTGTAAATAAACAACCTAGGAGGTGCACCATGAACAAGAGTGTTGTAAAGTTTTAAAGCACATTGGCAATCTCCATTTTTAAACTCAGTCTCTTCATTACATCTCTCATTAATCTAACCGCTTTTCTTAATCTAACTAATTAAGTTAGAAGCAATACCTTGTATACCCTCTAAATCTAGCCGAAGTTAAGTGTTACTAGATTCTTCCAGCTACAAATGAATTTATGAAAACCTCAAAAGAACTTACTCATCATCACCATGTTTGCTTGAACTTGTATACCTAAAATAGCTAAATGGGAAGCAAACAGCTAAATCAAAGAAGAACCATCTCCTGATATAAGCTAATGCTATATTCTTTTTATCGTAAATCAGCTTTCCCTCCTTGTCAGCTATCGGGGTTATAAAAATAATCAGCATGTCGATCAAGAAGACGAAAGTCAGATAAAAATCTACTACAACATCAAATAAATTAGGATCGTAATCGAATGATATTCTATAAGGAATGCTGAATGCAAGATATCCAATGTGGATGAACATAAATACTTTCCATGAAACTGCAATTTTGCCATAAAGTGGAAATGACTACAATTAATAGTGAGTAGATGGTTCAAGGATATAATTAAAGATTAATTTAAAACTATAATTTGTAGAAACATATGCTCTTGCACTTACAATTCGGCTGCACCTATGGCTTTTTTGATGAAAATCAAATTCATGGCTATATTCTTAATGACCATCATGAGCGGAGGTTCCTTCCTCATTTCCATTTTATTTATCTTCATGACCTATAAAAATTTAAGATGCATGAAGATATTAGATTTAAGCATTGGAGATATAAGCTAGTTAGAGCATTTTAGATTTATAGTAATTCAGTTTAATTCTTGTTACATACTTATAAGTTGCTGCTACGTAGAATTTAATTAATGGTAAATCTGCATAGCATTATCTTCTGAGCGTTTTCGAGGAGTGGGTATTTTTTCGCTCCCATTAAGTGATTTTACTTTTTAAAGAAAATCTTTCATTTCCATAATATTATCAAGTTCAGTTGGGGGATTCTATTTAGTTTACTTCTCCTTCTCAGAAATATTGCTAATGGCTTTGTTTAGATTACTCATTCTCCAATCCTCACCCTTTAGGTCCTCATTAACACTCAAGTTAGACATCTTCTTTTTTTCCACCTTGAAATCTAGAGATTACTTAAGTTACAATTACCTTGAACAAGAAGTTTTTTGTCATTAGACCTCATTATTTGTAAAATATTATAATAAAAAAGTATGTTTTATAATAATGCTCGCCTCCAAGCAATTCTAATAATTCATTAAAATCTCAAATTTAAAATCTAATTAATTTCATTGAATTTAATATCTTATCTGATTACTACACTTATTTTGAATACGATGGGGTTTTGGGGTTTTGGGGTTTTGGGG